GGCCACCAAATAGAAATGAGTACGTTGCATTTTTTTTTTTTCCATCTTTTACTACTGCTCAGCCATGGGCCTGAGCGATAACAGAAGGGATGGGAAGCACTTACGTAGAAAGAAATTGGGTGTGAACCTTTTTCCCTACCTGGTCTGGATGCCACCTCAGCCTGGTCCCAGTGTGTGGGTAAACACACATCCCAGATGGGGGAGCATGGAAAGCAGCTCTAGGCCTTTTTTTCCTGTATGGCACTTACTTTATCAAAGGAAAATATTTTTGAGGTTGATCTGAAACTGAGAGCTTGGTAGAGATTTGGTAAATTAATGGATTAGTAGAACAAGGCATAATTTTTGTGAAATCAGTCTATTAAATGCTTCTGCACATCTGAAGGCTTTGTGTCTTTGTGTTTCTATGAACCTTGCCCATGCTCTGGATTTGTGTGAGTGTTTGAGTGTCAAGTTTTTAAGAAGAAAAAACTTCTACTTCTGCCCCCCCCCCCCCCTGCTTCCTGCATGTATTTGCAGGGTAATAACTCGCACAGTGCAAAGTTCTCTGTATTCCTTGAGATTGTGAATCTAGGAACAATTTTCTCCTTGTGAAAGAGTGAGGTGTTGCCAAACCCAGAATACTGCCATCTCTGCTTATGAATCCGAGTTTCAAATCCCAGATGCTTTACATAATAAAGCCTAACTGGGCTGATTACCAAGAGAACTCAGTCATTCAGAAAAATAAAAGGGAAAAATCCCTTTGCTTCATGAAGGAAGAACTGGTGCCAAGAGGAGGTTGAAATGCTAAAAATGCATTTTCTGTTTGGATCTTTCATATCAACTATCCTGTTTCCTCTTTCTTTCCCTTTTATTTAAGGCTGGGGATCAGTATTGCTCTTCTGCAGTGGGTGCATGTGGAAGTTTTTTGTAGGACCTCTGGGGACTTAGGTTATGAAAAGCACATTTAATGAGTCTCTTCCCACTCTGCAGGAATCCAGCTTAGGTAAGTCTTCCTGGCTACATCTGCAGTGTCTTAGGACAGTGGTGGTGATGTGGATGCCTGTAGCTTCATTGCTTACATACTCTATGAGTTTTGTGGCATGTGACACTGAGGCCATCCGGAAAAGAGTGTGGCTGACTTGCCTGCCTGTTGCTGACCACGTGATATTGCTGGAAAGCAGTATGGGATGTTTGGCAGAGGATTCAGCCTCATAATCATTAACCATCCATATGCTCTGCCCGTTTCTTTCCTAGCAAGCAATGTGGTAGCGCCCATGCAAAGCAGCAGGAAAACCTGTATGTGTTTTAATTTGTTATAGTCCTACTTTATAGTCTATAAATAGTCTTTCTTCCACTGCAGCTGCTCTCAGACTCTTAATGAAACTACGCTCCTATGAGTTAAATGGAAGCCCTCTTGTGGATTAATAATTGATTAAAAAATGAGAGAGTTCCTTTAGGTGGTCAGTTTTCTGTGGAAAATTAGCTGGAAATGGAAAGGAAGCATGGAAAGACAAGATTTGCAAACGTGAAGTTATTCAAAATAGTCAAGTTCACTGCTGAATGCAAACAGTTGGAAGATAAATTGGTGATGCTAAGTAACTGATCCGTAGAAAGGGTGAAATTAGTTGTTTGTACAGAGTGGTACATCTGAGAAAAGACAATGCTGTTCCTTAAGCTAGCTGTTACCCTCTGTAAGAGACCTTGACTGATTGTGGGTAGTTCTCTGAAAACAGCAGCAGCTCAGTCGCCCTTCAGTATTGGTCCGAAAGGCAAGCAGAGCACTACAAACCACTGGGGGAAACCCAAGAACAACAAAATCGTTGTCACTGCATAATCTCTGCTGTGCCCACATCTTCAGTACCATGTCCGGTTTTGTTCCCTTTGTTAGAGCAGAATTAGGGTATGTGGAGGCACAGCGAAGGCAGTCAGAGGTATGGGGTTGCTTTTGTACAAATAGGAACTAATTAGTGTAGGAAATTTTCTGTCGGGGAAAAAAAGGCAATTGGAGGTGACATAATATCACCTACAGTGGAGGTCTGTATAGTCATGAATGGCTTGGGGAAGTGAATGGTGTGTGTTTATTTCCTGGGGTTTTTTTTTCCACTGCTTCACAAAAGGCAAACTGGGGCACCAGAAAAATTTCAGGAAGGTGGTTTAAACAAAAGCAGTTTTTCACAGAGCACATCATTAAATTTGGAACTCATTGACTACTGATATTGTGGAGATCAAAGTAAACTTCGCAGAGAAATTTATATAGTTGCAAGTATCTTTTGCAAGTATCTTTTGCTCAGGGAAAACTCATTACATTACATTATTATAATGACTTACTGGTATTGCTTTGGCTGCTCCCATAAGAGGGTTGTTGTGTATTACTTCTGGAACATTTTTAAAATAGCTACAATTTCTTGAAAAACTAGGTAATGCTTTTTGGCTGGAGCTGCTTGAAAGTGAGAGTGGTGTGATGTTGCTGTGTTTGAACAGGCTTTGCTTGACACAACAGCCAAAACCAGAACAACGTAGAGTACAGAAGGAAAAAAAATAATGTTGCTTTGGCATTCAAACCTCATAGACATTTAGAAAAAAAAATACAAACCTGCAGAAATCAGGTGAATTAAACATCCATGTAGCCCTGGAAGCTGGAGATTAAATTCTGCAGTACATTTGCTCCCTGCTTATTATCTTTGCAGTTGCACTGAAAGAAATAGGAATACAGACCATTTGACAAAAATGTTTTCACTGCTTTTTAAACATCTAATACAGAACTGTTCCTCAAATTTCTTTGTGAAAGTGTTTTTACACAAGGCTATATACTTCAATAGGAATTCCGCTGTTGCAGCAGGGGCTTGCCTTAGGACTGCTGCAGATTTTTTTTTTTCCCAGAAGAAGTTAACAGAAGTTAAAAAAACAGAATTCCAAAAGCAGCTCGTTTTTTTTTTAATTAAAAAAATAAAAATAATCACTTTTTACCTGAAAAGTTTAAACTTTTCCTATTGTGTTTACAGACTCTCAGTGCTGGAACCGAACATTAATCGTTTTACTCTCAAATTTTAATGTAGCATGACGTGTGGGGCTGAAATGCCATATGTAGCTCTGTAATACAGTCACTGTGATGACCTGCAGAGGTGTGAGGCATCGGGTACAAACTTTGAGAGTAAAAATTTCAATAGCTCGTCCCTGAGCTGTAACTGAGGCTTTCATTTCCAGACCTGTTTTGATTCCTTAGGTAGCACATTGTAAGATGCTGGCTGGATTTTTGTTGCAAGGAAGCTCATCTGGCTCCTCTTGTTGAGAGTTGATTTGAATTTATTTAAGGTCTGTTTCTTTAATCTGACTGAAGTTTTTCATGAAACCACAGATGATCCGGTTTCAAACTAGCAGGGATCCTAATCCCACATTCTGGTTAAGTATCTTGAATGTACTGTATCTGTTTCCTTCAGTGGAGAAACTTAGGTGCACTAAGCTCGTTACTGTATCGCTCCAGACAGGGATGTTGATTTCTGTGAACGAACATGATTAAACAACTACAAGATTACAAAGCTCCCCCTGCTTTTAGGTAAACTAACTTTCAGTCCAGCTAACTGAAACCTTTAGCTTTAATGCTCTGCTTGTGCCTTGTGTGTTTTGAATTTGTTTGAAGTTGTAGAAACTACATGTAAAATGGCGATGTTGGTATAGCTGAGGTTTAACTAGCATATGAGAGTTTTCAGTTCATTTTGCACAAGTATAAATAGATTTTATGTGCATGTGATCCTGAAAGTTGCCTGGCTGATGTGATAAAATTCATCAATACATTTATACCTTGCTTTTCATTTGCTATTTCATTGAGAAAATGCCATGGAAAGATAGACCTTATGAGATAAGGGGTTGGAACTAGGTGATCTTTAAGGTCCCTTCCAACCCAAACCATTCTGATTCTATGAAAAATTTCCTACAATGTGCTATATATCTGTGGTAACATTTGTTATGCAAACGCTTGCCTGAAGACTTAATTTTTTAATTTCTGTTAATATACAAATGGAAATATATATGACTCTTGTCATATATAATACATGGAGCTGCTGTCAGCCCGTCCTACTTGGAGTTAAAATGATGTGGTGCTTCTTAATAAATGAATATTTAAGTATGATTTCAGTTAATGTTATTGACAGAGGAAGCCCAGAGAGATAGATGGGTCCTCTTAATTTTTTTTTTTTTTGTAGTTCATGCCCTCCCTAATGTTATTTTTGAGAGTTATGAACAGCTTTTTGCCTGCTGTATGTAATCCATAGAAAGGATCTTTATCCTAAATAACACAGTGCAGTTCTTTTAAGCATTGTTCTGCTTTTGGACGGACAGCATACAGGAAAACATCCCTTGTTGGTTTTGCCATAGTTAACCATTTATTTACTTTAATGGCTAAAATAAAAGAGGACATAGCTAAAAACAGTAGGATAATTAGAAGACTGGGAGAATTCTGCTGAGATTTAGTAGGCATTGAGATAGTCTTGAAAAAAGGAAGCGTTAAAAGCCTCATAGTTTGAAACTTGTAAAACAGGCTGTATAAAAGCATGGAAAAGCAATTGCAAGGAGCAGTTGTATAGAGAGGCATTGTACAGCTTTCAGTCTTGTAGAATTTTCTGTATCCCTAAAAGTTTTCCAGTGATAGTGTACCGTTTATGGCAAGTAGAAGTTTACAGTCTATTAGGCTTGCTATTCCTTGCTACCTTCTACATCTCTTCTATATATTCCATACGCCTTGTGAAGTCCACAGATCCTGGCTTTACAAACCCTTTGCCTAAAGTAGGTAATTCAGATTTCACGGAAGTTACACAGAGTTAGAGACTGTTCTGGCACATTCAGGCATTCAAGCTTCTCTAAATAGTCTGTAAGGTGGCTGTGGTTATTTTGGTGTTTAAAAGAAATATGAAAGCCTTTAAAAATTACCATTTCAAACCGAACATGAAGGCATTCATGTGGGCTGGTAAGAGCGGAATAACCTTGGCATTGTCAGTGGAAAGGCATTTTCCTCCACAGCTACTCACCCTGCAGCAACTGGCAGGCAGGTAGAAATAGGAGCATAGCGCTCACATAAGGATGAGGATGGGGCTTTTTCCAAGCTCCAGCTGCTTGCTATTCCCTCGCTGAGCTGTGGATTCAGAGCAGCCCTTCCCAGCACTTGCTGGAGGCTGGGAGAGACTGGTGATACGTCGGCTAATCACCGCTTCGCATTAATTCTGGCATTTGAGGGCTCCACTGCGGGCAAACCCATACGCAGAGGAGGGGAGAGAAGTTATAAGCGGTCCTGCTGTCATTAGCATTCACGGCTCTGGCTTCAAGCAGCGCCTGCCTCACCCAAGCACTGCCAGGAGGAAATGTGTACTCCTGCCTCCTTTTGTGCTGAAGGGGGATCCGAATGGAGTAATTGAAATGCAGGGCTGCGAAGCACTGCTGTAGTGGTCTGGTTTGGGGTTCCCCCCACCCTCCTTCCTTTATTCTTGGAGCAGGGGGAGCATGTTTGCTGTGGATTCTTTTTGTTTTATCAGAGAATGAGATGCTGGCTGAAAATTGAAGAAATGGCCCTAGAAGAATTGATGCAAAGATTAAATGCGGTTTCCCAGTGTGCTGGTAGGAGGAGCTGCTGGTCTTAAATTATGTGTTTTGTGGATGCTGTTAGTGATTTTGTAGGATTTACAGGAAATCCTGGTAATCCGACTAGATTCTTTATGCATGCTCGTATTAATAGGGAAGAAAATGTTAAGAGATTTTGTCACCAGGTTAAACTTTTGTTTATATTAACACTAATTAACATTTTTAGTGCTTAGACATTCATGAGGCAAGCTTTAGAATCTCCTCTTGAATAGTTCTGGGTAGCTGCTAGCCCAGTCAAATACTCTAAATGGGTCTTGATTCAGCTGTAGCTGAAAAGTGGGGAGAATTACAGATTTGTCTTATCAGAACAGCTCTAATGTGAAGCAGTGAAAAGCTGGGCTAACTATAACACACTGCAAGCAGCATTTAGGGTGGGTCTCACTTTCATGAGAATGAAGTTGAATGCATTAATCATGGTAAATGTAGTTTTACATTTGTATGAATTAAAACTTGCGTCAGAAGTGCTAAAATGGTTTTAGCACTGTAAAAGATTCTTAGGATTTCCGAGAGACTGTTCTATTTTCTTGAAAATTTAAATGCTTTATTTTGAAAATTAGAATTAAACAGCAGTGTACAATAAGGTGATCCGTGGTGAAGTCTCGGAGTGTTTTCCTGGGTATTGATCATGCAGAGATATATTTCAAAATAAAAAGTTCGCTGGAAAGAGAAGAGATGTGGGTTTTGTGTCCTTTGAAACTGTTTCTTTTGCCCTTTGGTCTGTTGACAGATGCCAGAAGTCTTGCATCTTGTTATCTGAGGCAAACCGGTGGTTTGCTGGTATAGAATACTTGAGGTATTATTCATTGTAGTATCAAACATTGGAATTTTTTTTCTTCCCATTTCCCTGGTACTCTGTTTCCTCAGGGTGACTTCTTCAGCTTGTTCAATTTCTGTGTGTTACAAGGAGATAATTAGCAAGATGGCTGATGCTTTAGTCTGATGAACAGATAGATTAAATGACAAATGTGGAATGGGCAGATTAGCTGCATCAGTTTTCCTGGATAGGGGAAGTGGGTATTTTACCTTCTTAGTAACGTTGGGGGGGGAGGGAAGGGGGAAGGAAGCAAGACTTCATCTGACAAGAACAAACATTAAATTACAAGTATAGGTTATCATACATAGTCTTTTCTTCTTCCTTGTTCTTCTTACGCACTTTTCCCCTGATTATTTTCCTATTTTCAGAACATATCTTTATTAAATGTTTGGATATTTGTTGCATTGCATGTTCTGATTTCCATAATGTTTAAAAAGAAATCTAGCCTGATATTTGCTAGGATATACTGTCTTCTGCGGTTTATTTTAGTAATTTGTACATTACTTTTTCCACTCCCTTTACGTTGTTGCTGTAGTTTTTCAGATATAAGGTAGATTTTAGTAACATATGGTAGAATTGGTTGGAACTGTGGGAACCTTTTCTTCCTGAATTGAAGAAGGAGCCTCCAGCCTGGGAGCAGGTTGCCTGGTTTGCCTGTCTCAGCTGTGCAGATGTAGGTACACTGTGACCTTCATGTAAGCCGCCTGCAGCTCTGAGTGCTGTTTTCACACTTGCCGGCAGGCTCTGACTGTGTGCTGATATTTAGCTTGTTAAACTTGCATATTTTTCCAAAAAAAGCAACTGTTACTCTACTGCCAAAGTCATGTTTGTGTGATTTAGCTGGTCCTTCTCCTCCCCCTTTTCTTTCTCTCTGTAATCCCTGTGTTCCCAAGCCAAAGGTACCTTTTTTTTCTACAACCAGTGGTTGTATTTATAGGTGACTGTTTCCGTTTTTCTTTTTTTTTTCTTCTCTTCTTTTTCTTTCTTTTTTGTTGTTCCTTTCAGGTTTAGACCATTTCTCTGTTGCTGACTCCCATTCCTGGACTATATTCTCTGTCCTTGGGTCAAATTAGCTGCCGTCTGGCTATCTTTCTGTTGACTCAGAAACCTTTGGTAAGCAAAGATTTCTTTAACAGCCCAAGATCATGTGCAGGATTTTTCCAAGCCCATTTTTCAATAGCTTCCTGCTCTGGAGTAATTGAAATGCAAAGGTTTCCCTGGCTGCCTCATAGTACTGCTCTCCACTGTCAGGCATCAAGGGATGAATTTTCTCCATTGTAGGACCCTTATTCCTCTTCCTTCATTTGTTCTTTTGAACGATACAGCAGGTAGGCTGAGATTTATCTCAGGTAGTTTTAAGCATCTAAATCAGAAGAGAAATTCCCCTCAAATCCATGAGCGCTGAAAAGAGAGAAGCGGGCACATGCAGAAAGGAAGCCCTTCTGCCTTCTGAGGTGCACTCTTTCCCTTGACCAGGAAGGGGAAGCTGGAAGCCTGGAATATCTCAGCTCCTAACCTAGCATCTCCTAGCGCCTGAAGTTAGGTGTGGTAAATCTGGGTTTATCTGTAGTCTTCTGCTTTCCCGATAACACATCCCCTGTGTCTGTCACCACCAGCACTTAGAATCATAGAATAGAATCATAGAGTAGTTAGGGTTGGAAAGGACCTTAAGATCATCAAGTTCCAACCCCCTGCCGTGGGCAGGAACACCTCGCTCTAAACCATCTCACCCAAGGCTCTGTCCAACCTGGCCTTGAACACCGCCAGGGATGGAGCATTCACAGCCTCCCTGGGCAACCTATTCCAGTGCCTCACCACCCTAACAGGAAAGAATTTCCTCCTTATATCCAATCTAAACTTTCCCTGTTAAAGTTTTAACCCATTACCCCTTGTCCTGTCACTACAGTCCCTAATGAGGAGTCCCTTGCCAGCAACCCCCTTTCCTCAGTGGTCCTTCTGCTCCCTCTGCTTTGACTTAAATTCTGGTTTGTTCCCATGGTAAATTACTGATCTGTCACTCCTTACTCTCTCTTGAATGTGCGATCCTTTCACTGGATCCCCTGAGTGCTTTACACCTGTACATTTTACAAATCTGGACAGCAGAGTTCTGATTATTTCTTCTCTTGCTCACCTTCACTTAATCCTCCAACACATTACAGATATATTATCTTCTGCTTCTGGATATATTTAGTGATTAAGATCATAAAAATAATATTTTTTATTTTAGAATTATCATCCTTTTCTATTCTTTCTCTGACTCCTGCTCCACATTTCAAAATAAGCTTGTACCCTGCCCCCTTGCAGACTAAAAAAGTTGCTCCCATGGCATCTTCCTTTGTTTTTCTTTTTCCCACATATACTCCTTAGCCATCCCAGTCACTTCCCTTCTATCAAAAGAGCTTGCTGGATTTGAATGACCAGCCTATTACTTTCCTTGTGTTCATATAAATCCTTAAAATAAGATGGAAGTGAACTAAGGAAATTCCCTATTTCTGTTTAACTTTTTGTTGTTTTGTTTTTTTTGGTGTTTTTATGTTTGTTGTTGTTTTGTTTTGGGTTTTCTTTTTTTCATTAAAGCTACAGGTTGTTTCTGAAAAAAAAAATAAAATCCTGGTTTTGTCTGTGCTTATTTTTTTGATGGATAATTACATCATTTCTGTTCATTTGGCCATAGTTTTTACTTTTCTTTCTCTCTTTCAGTTCTTGCTGTATTAAATTAGACCCTCTTCCACAAATTGCTGTTTATGGGTGGAACTTCCCCTGGCAGAGGATCAGTAGCTCTGAGGTTAAAGCCTCAGCTTATAAATGGTTCTGGTCTGGGACCTCATACATTGTCCATATTCCTATAATTCCCTGTGCCATGGGTTTTCTGCTTAGGACTCTATTTGCTGTGGCTGATACAGAAACAGCATTAAGGCGCCTGCTTTTTCTGTCAGTTGCTACTCAGGTTTGCATCAGCACTGAGCTTGGAAACCTTTCAATGATGGTGTTGTCCAATTCATGCAGGCCATACAAATCTGACAATCCCAGCCTTAAGGCTGTGGTAGCCTCACAAATGATTACTTTCCACTTTGGAAAGGTGCCACTATTACAGCTACCATCTGTTTCCTCTCTTTGAACAAAATTATAGCGCTCTGCCAAAAGAAGAAACATCTGCAAATCAAAGAAGATAAACATGTCAGTAGTTCCTTAGTAAATATGATTGCAGTGTTAGTATTTTATGGACAGGTGGCATTCCTTAGCCATTTCAGCTTCAGTCAGTTTTCAGTAGCTCCAGTTTTTCTGTCATATTCACAGTTTGGGCTGAAACTTTACACTTTATTTCCTGGCTTTTTTATTTTGACAGGCAGGCTGTTGAGGTTTTGAAGCCTGGCTCACCTGTCTTGACAACTTAGGAACAGATGTAGGAGGAATGGACTCACATACCACTTTCAAGTGCCCAACATCAACCGGAAGGAGCTGGCTTACCACAAATAGTATTGGAGCTACCCTCAGGAACACTGAAGGGACATTACAAAGTTGTGGGTAGCTGGAAGGGCTTGTTCTGTGTGTCTTCCCCATTCCTAGTCTCGTGAGTTTTCCTGGTCTTTCTTACCCTTGTAGCATCTGTCATTTGTTCACTTGATTTTCCAGGATCCCAAAAAAGTCTTTCTGCAGGTGGCAGAATACTTTGTGCCCATGTGTTAATTTGGCAGGCAGGCAGGTCTGA